TTTGATGCATTGCATATTTCAAGTGATTTTTATATTTAGCCAACTTGAAATTTATTTCCCGCTATCATTGTTTGATATTATAGTGTAGCTTGTTGTGCATTAAGTTAAAAGGTTAGAATGTGTGTTGTGGTGTTACGTTCTTGCGATACATGTATGGAATGCAAAGATATATGGGGGAGTTTTCTTATTTTACGCCAATAGCTAACATGCAAGACACGCAAAATAATAGTGGTTTTCTAAGGCCATTAGTAGTGTGATAGGGTATTAGGAGTCCAAAATGCTAAATGTGGAACTTTTTGTGTGGAACTTTTTGACTCCTAATTGTGTGCATTGGTAGGTTAAGTAGGGTGTTAAAAGTGGGAAAGATGGTCGAGGGGGTTGACAGTGGAGCATGGCCGGTCCTAGGGGGAGGGCAACAGGGACGACCGCCCTAGGCCCAAAAAAAGTAGAAAGAGAATTATGCACGAGTTTTTTTCTTTATATGTAATTGGAGTAGGCTTTTTTTTATTTATGATTTCAATTAATTAATTAGGTCTAATGTGTAATTTTTGTTGACACTTTGAAACTTTTAAAACATAAGTAAAAAATGTTGAACAGAGCTAGACAAGTTTAAAAAAGAATATAAATTTAGTTTTGATTTTTAAATATAGTTGGTTGTAAGTCAACACATTTGTTATTTAATCAATAAAAGCACGTCTCGTCACATCTTTTTAGCCTTTAAGATTTTTTATTCTTTTAATTACAAAATTACCAATTTATATTATTGTCTTTGGGTTGCCAGTGCCTCCCAATTCTCAAACATCATCCCAATCATCTATTATGCCTAAAAAAACTTAATGGATTAGCAATTTTAAACATTGAACATGTGATCTTGGAAAAGATTGATTATAAAGCAATTATTGATAATTCTACTTCACAATATTCTTTTGTGATACTAGTGTTGTTACTTTTGTCCAAATATGCAATTCAAATAAAATGAGGGTGAATTTCATCTCTATTTTGTAACCTTTATTATATAGTTGTAGGGATAATTCCTGAAATAGGAGTAATTGTTTATCGAGAATTTCAAAATAGAACTGTCATGTGTTTATTTTCTGAATAGGAGTAATTACTGTCATGTTCGGAAAATACTACCACGTGTAAAATATGAAAGTAATTACTTCTATTTAGGGAATAAAAACATGATAATCTTAGTTTGGAATATACAAACGTTTTCAGTCATATTTAGAGTAATTTCTGGTTTTATTATACCCCGTAGTTTTTACTTGAAGTATAATTTACTGTTTGTCTTGAAAATAAGACCAAAATAGTTATTCGCCCATAGGCCCAAAACTGGACAGGACCGGCCATGCAGTGAAGCAAAATGGAAAAAGAAAAAAAAATGGAAGGGTGGAACGGCGCAGGCTGCAGGGAGGTATGGATGATGTCATGTTGTCATCATCTATCCATGCGTCATAAAACCCCAATTTTTTGTAATTGTTATAACTTTTTTATTTCTTGTCCAAATTTTTCAGAAAAATATCAAAAATTTTAAGTTTTAATAATCTTTTTATGGCACCAATATTGCATGTGTAAAGCGTAAAAAATCTGAAGTTCAAACTGTTAGCAGGGCCGGTCCTGAGAAAACGGAGGCCCTGTGCAAGAATAAAATTTGGACCTTCCTTTCTTACGCAAATAAAAATAAAACATAAATAAAAATGATAATAGTAAAAAAATACTGATAATTTGTGTTAAATTAAAACTTTTAATTTTGCTGGACTAATTAATTGGGCCAATAAAAATGCAGAACACTAGACTACTAATAAATACTAGTACTAAATTTTTTTTTGGGGCCCTTCATTTTTTCGGGCCCGGTGCGGTCGGACTGCTCACTCCCCCCAAGGGCCGACCCTGACTGTTAGAGTTTCCTTAAGCCCAAAAAAACACGAAACACAAATTTTTAATCCATGGACCCTCTCTCTATAAATAACTCAATATTGATTGAACTCATTTTATCTTTTATTAAAACAGAATAGGTACAAAAATGATTTTTAAATTTTTAAGTTTTTGTAAGGAATAATTGTACTTAGGTTTTGATGATGCTAGGATAGATTAGAATTTTAAAGTACCCCTTGTAGAAATTTTGTATTAGAATTTTTCTTTGTAAGTATTAGCATAGTCGACGGGCCAGAGATCCTCTTGGTACTTCTGATCACTTTCAGAGTTGTCAGGAGAACTGCTCCGTGAGAGTTGCTCTTCAGAGAAGCATCAGAACTGCTAGGAGAACTGCACTATGAGAAGTGCTGGCAGAGTTGCTCCTTTAACTAGTCATCAGAGCTGCTACCAAAGCTGCCCTCATATAGCTATCAGAGAACCATCGGAGCCCGGCTTGAGAACTGCTAATCAGAGAATCTCATCAGACATCAAACACTTAGAAGAATTCGATGCTACTTTCAACGGCCGTGTAACTAACGGGAAACTCCCTAACGGCTAGAAGATTTTTCACGAAAGGAAAGCATTTAATGCTCATTTAATGAGCCTGATACGTTGTGAAGTAATTGCAAATGATTAACCGAGATTCCTGGAGAATATTATACAAAAATAGAAACCTGCCATGTTTGCGGGTCCAACCGGTCAACTCCACAGTACGCGCATTTAATACAGTTGTCTCCTCCTCCAACGGGCAGACAACCCTAGTATAAAAGATACACCTTAAAGAAACTCGATGACAACTTTTGCTACAACTTTTGCTCTCAACATTCAAACAAGCTCTCTTAAGATTTAACTTCAAAAACCAAGAAGGAGCTTACGTTGGGAAGATTATACTTCATAAATTCCTCTACCCAACACGAGCAAAGTTCCCCAGTTCTTCAACAACTTCAAGCACTCCATCAACACATCTTTTGTGACGAAGCAAGTTGGAGAAAAACTCTGTTTTTCAAACATCTTCTGCGAAGAAGGACGTCCAATTAACTGGAGTAGTGAAGTGGGTATACTTCCGGGAAGCTCAGTGAACGGACCAGTCTTAGAGGAAGCAAGGAACCGCATCCTAGGAGACAACTAGGCTTGAAGAAGACGTGGAGAGCTTCTTGAGTGATAGGGCCAAAGCTTTGTAACCGTTTACCTCAAAGCTTAGTGGAACAGTGGACTAGAGGAACGCGTTGTTCCTTGAACCACTATAAAAATCCCCGATGTCATTTACTTTACTGCATTTAATTTCTTGCACTTAGGATTTTAACTGTATAACTCTTAAGAACTCGGAATCTGTGTTCAGCAGATCTTGTTCTAAGAGTCATCAGAAAGGCATTTGAATTAGTGTTTTCTTGAGGCTACCCAGACAGAACTCTTATCCGCTGCCAGGTCCAGTTCTGCCATCATAACTCGACCCTTCTCTGTCACCAGATTCAGACCATCTCTCATAAGTCAGTTTTGACTTAGAGAAAATTTTGAAAACCTAAACAGTCTATTCACCACCACCACCACCACCACCACCCTCTAGACTGTTTCACACTTAAACGGGACCAACAGTTTTTAACATCGAAATACTCCCTCTGTTCTTTATTAATAGTCCCGCTAGCCTTGGGCACGAGTTTTAATAATAAAGTAGTAGAGTAAGTATAGAGTGTGTAGGGTAAATGATAAAGTAAGAAAGAGAGTATATTAAAAAAAAGTAAAGTGAGGAAAAAGTAGGAAAACGAGTGTATTAAGAAGAGTACAGTGATGATAAAGTAGGAAAGGGAAAGTAGTTTGTAAAAAAAAAGTGGGGTAAAAGTAATAAAAGTGTGAGTATTTTATCAAAAACTTTCCTTAAATGGAAAGAGGACAAATAAAATAACAGACCAAAATGGAATAAGAGACTATTAATAAAGAACGGAGGGAGTATGATTTTTTTTAATTAATGTTTTAATAAACTGGTATGTGAAAAAATATGTTAATGGTGTTTTATTTATAGTGTTGCATTGAAGGTAGGGGTGGACCCGGTTCGGGCCGGTTCCGGTTCGGGTCTGGGCCAGGCCGGGCCTTTTTTTGGGTAAGGGGGAACCGGAACCGACCCGAGTAGACGGCGGTTCCGGGCCGAGCCGGTTCCGGTTCGATTTTTTTTTGTTTTTGATTTCTTATTTATTTCATCCACCACCACCCCCAACAATCCCTCCCACCCCCCAAACCCCTCGGAAACACCCATCCCAGCCCAACTAAACCCAGCCCAAACCCAAAAAACCCAAAAAAAAGGCCTGAACCGAGCCCGGCCGGGCCGGGCCGGTTCGCCTTTTGCATGACCCGGGCCCGGAACGGCATAACCCCTCGGGCCTAGGCCCGAACCGGAACCGGAACCGGTTTCCTGGGCCGGGCCGGTTCTACACAGTATCGGGTCGGGCCGGTTCCGGGCCGGGCGGCCCAAACCAAGTCCATCCCTAATTGTAGGGGATAAACAATATTGACGGGGGTTAAACACTATTTATTGATTGAAGAAAATGATAAAAATGGTATTTGACGAGTAAGAATACGGATTCAAAAAGGGCTATTCCGATTGGGATGATAAGCATGGGCAGATTGACAGGGAGGGGGAGGGGGAGGGGAAGGCAAATGTAAAATCCCATTTGTACTCCAAATTTTACATTTTTTTTGTAACCCAGTGGAAACCATCTGAAGATGGTGTAAGGGCCGGTAAACACCGTACCTATTTTTTCATGACTTTTTTTTATTTGTACACCAATATTTCATGTATAAATTTTAATTTATTTTTTGAAATTTCAACCGCAGAAAGTTTTCATATCCAAAATCTTTCATAAATAGATTCAAGTGCTAAAATTAAGATCCCATTGTTATTTTTTTCCATGTTACAATTATTTTTAAAATGAAATTTCGATATTAGCACATTGATCTATTTAAGAAAAATATTGAAACTAAAAACCTCCTAGTGTTGAAACAATTACTGTCATATGAAAGATCACAAAAAGTTATAAATTTTAATATATTTTTTTGAGAAAATTGGACCACAAATAAATAAGTTACAACACTTCAAGAAACTGGAATTTTATAGGGAGAACTGGCAAATCAGTCATTGAAGTATGTGAAAAAAGTCACGCCCTTGAACTTAAACAACACTCAATTAAGTTCGTAAGAGCATCTTCAATGCTAAAATGTTAACGGTGCATACGTGGCATGCGAAATAACCAATTAAAAAAGAATAAATACAATATCTCTCTTCTTCTTTCCACGGTCTTATGTGTTTATGGTGAGTTTTTGTCTGCAATGTCAATCACAATGTCTACATTTAGACATTGTGCTTGACATTGTGAAGAAAAATTTACCAAAATGATGTAAGATCCTTCAAATAAGGAAAGAGATATTGTATTTATTGATTTTTAATTGGTTATTTTTCATACTACGTATGCACCGTTAACGTTTTATCATTGGAGATGCTCTAAACTGTACAAAATCAGTCAATTTTCTATTCTAGCCGGTTGATTCCTGGTAAGCAAGGATTTGCTGATGTGGCAGTCCTGTCAAATTCCCTTTTCTTTTTTCCTTTTTTAATTTCCCTTTTTTCCTCGCTTCTTTCTTCTTCGGCACAACCAAACCTGAAACCTCTACTCCCCTGCTTTCTTCTCCCCTGCTTTCTTCTTTTTAGGCCCAGCCTGCCCCACCCCTCCCCCCCTTTTTCTTCCCATTCATAATTACTCTCCAATTCTCTTAGTTCACTCTCAAGATTCGGAGAAATGGCTGTCACGCCGGGATCTATCTATGCTGACCACCATTTCCAGCACCTCAGCCTTCGCAGTTTTTACATCACCTCTTGTCGTCGTTCCAATATCACCCACGACCTCAATAGCTCTCTCAGAGTCATCAAACCCATCTGCCGACTGAGTTTTCTCCCGGAAGAATCTACTTCAAGATCCGCCGGAACTCGAGTTCCGGTCCCTAGGATCGATGCACGCGAAATCCACCGGAGCTTGACTCTGTCGTGGAAGTCGGATGCTTTGAGGTTATTAACCACAGAATTTTGAACGAACTAATCTGGTCGGTTCTTGCCATCAGAGATGAAGGCGAAGGCGGCTCAGTCACCGAAGATTCTATATTTCCATGGGCCTTTGAAGAAGGGTCGGGTAGGAAAGAAATTAAATAGCGGAGAAAAGAATTCTGTATGGGAGGGAGAAGATAGGTAGAGACGAGGCCAAAGAAAAAAGAAGATGGGGAAGTTGGCCGGAAGAAAAATGGGGAAGACGAAAGAAAAGGAAAGAAACAAAAAAATGACACTTGGATGCCATGTCACCATAGTCACCGGCTTACTCAGAAGAAACCGGTTAAATTAGGAAATTGACCGATTTTGTATAATTTACGGACTTAATTAGGCGTTTTAATCAAGCATCTGCACTTGATTCTTCAAGCCCGCCGCCTCAAGGTATGATTAAATGCAACTTCGATGCAGCTATCTTCCCCCAAACAAGACAAGTGGGATATGGGATTATTCTGAGAGATGATCAAGGAAAATTTATTGCAGCCCGGAATGGTTTTCTTAACTGTCATCAAGATCCTTTGTTAGCCGAATCTATGGCATGTAAGGAGGCTTTGTCTTGGTTGATAAATAGAGGCGACGCGAACGTGGTGATCGAGACAGATTGTCTTGTTCTGAAGAATGCTGTTGATCGAGAGGATCACGCACTGTCCTATTTTGAACGTGCTTGCAAACTGCTATTTAATTTCCTTTTTAATTCTCATTTTGCTCATGTCAAACGCTCAGCAAATGTTATTGCTCACGCGTTGGCTCAGGCTATTATCACTCAAAACACTTCTGGGAGCTGGAATGATACTCCCCCACACTGTATTCAGAATTTGATTCCTTAGTAATATGATCATTTTTTTCCTTCAAAAAAAAAATTAGGCGTTTTAATTTGCGGGCTTAATTGACTTTTTTCATATACTTTGAGTGGTGATTTGACAGTTTTTCCAATTTTATAGTTTGCCTAGTCCCTCCCATTTCCCTCATGCACTGTGATGAAACGTTAGCAACACAAGAGAGGTGGTGAATTGTGTGTGAGTGGAACCGTGGCAGTTTTTCGCCAAGTTCTAGTGTGGGATAAAGGGAAATGCGAAATAATAAAGTGCACAAGGATTTAACGAGGAAAAACCCCTTGGCTCAAAGAGATTAAAAAACATCGACCTCCCTTGGAGGAATTTTAAACAACTTCACTAAAAAATCTTTGAATGATTACAAGGGAAAAACATTCCTAGTTTACCCTTGAGTCACCCCAACTCTATTATCTCTAGGAAGAGTTATACATCTCTTCTTTGCGGGTAGAGAGCCTCTCAGCTTTACAACAAAACTCTCACCACACACTGAACCCAAACCGAGGAAGTTATACTTACCTAGTCCTCAATAACACAATTACAATAAAAGAAGGGAAATGAAACTATATCTAGAACTCCGGGAGCAATTTCCGGTGCCTTGGGCTTGGTATTATTCTCGCAGATAACTCTTAATTTTTCTCTGGTCAAGCACCCCTCTCATTTGATCTTCTGCCAAATATATAGCTTTAGGTGTGACACCCGTTGGCTCCTCTTTCCTTAGTTGGATACTTGGACTTGCCTTGATATTTTTGAATTGCTTTCCTTTCATCATATCCGAGCTCAATATATAAGGTAGCCAAATTAAGACATCCAAAGTATCATAATTGTATATTCATTAGTGGCATATTGATCACGTACCAAGAATTATTCATTTAAATCTCGTGTGATCAATTAAGGTGGGAAAAATCCAAGTTGCTTTTTATTCCCAAAGAAAACAAGCTTCAGTCTAAAAGAGGTAGGGAATTTTTCTTTAATAACCATAAGCATGCAACGGCCATAATATGAATTCCCTATTTAAACCTAATTTCCTTTTATAAGTGGAAGTGCTCAAAAAGAACTTTCCATTTAATATTTCACCTAATGATGATCCCCTTTTTAAATCAAGCAGGGACTACAGATTCTTTTTAAATCAAGAAAGGATTCTTTCCATAAAGATTAATACAAGTCGATTTAAATCATGCAAGCCTAATAATAATGTCACATAAATCATGCATCTATTCAGAACTTAGAGTAGTTATGTCTCTGGTTAGTGATAGAACAGTTCTAGTCCTTGTTTCTGTATGGTTAGTCATCAACAAAACTAGATATTCAACACACTGTGTTCCAACGCTTGATTTATTTTTGTTTCTTTTTTCACTCAAAATATGGTGTTTCGATTTCTGTGTTTTTGCACCATAATTTGAAGTCTCGTGTTTTTGCTTGTCAAACAAAAAAGTCACATCTGTGAGGAATTTCCTCGACAAATGGGATACTTGAAATCAAATTAAGGTGAAAAATCAATTCAAGTCAAAGGTTGTACCATTAAGAGTAGGTATGGACCCGGTCCGGCCCGATTCGGAACCGGGTTTAGCACTGCTTGGACAGTTGGACCCAGATCGGGTCCATTTTCTGGTTTCGGTCCTAGGCTTAGTCCGCCCAAGAATTATACTCGGTCCCTGTCCACAGATTTGGGGAAGAACCGGGATGTCCGGTTTTGTGCCGACCGGCAATTTGTTTTCAGCCTATTTCCGGCAAAATTTAAAAACAATATGTAATAGGCCCTGGACCAAATTAACCACGTACACAGAATTGGCCCAGACCCGAAAATAATTGGGTCAATCCTAGTCTTCATCCAAAGTTGACAAGGATGGACTGGACGGTCTCGGCCTGAAACTGGGACAGACCGGGGTCCACGGCTAATTAACGATAATCGTGAAAACAAAATACTAAAATAGGTGGACAATGAGTTGGTAGAAAAGTTCTTGTGTTGCATCTTCGTCAAAAGGGATATGAAAGTCCTGATTTATCTAACAATCAGATATATAAAAAGAAACTTCAAATATATAAAACAAGAATAGAGAAGCTCCAGATATATAATGGGAAATTTACCCCAATATTAGAGAGGATTTGGTATTATATGACTAAAAAAATTAACTGATCAAAATATGAACAAAAATAACTAACGGTGTGTGCCATAACTAAAAAACAAGCAATAGAAAGTTTCAACCAAATACATGTGGAACGAGGCTAGCATATCATTCTCCCACCAAATTAGGGGATAAAAAGGTCATAGATTGAGAAATAGATACTCTTTTAGTCATATGAGAAGTAACTTTCTCATATATAAAACAAGAATAGAGATGATTTGAGCTTGGATTCAATACCAACAATTATATGTGCATCAAACGTACCAGATATGAATATCATTAACTCTCCCTCTTCTCTAAAATGTATTGACGCAAAATTAAATGCTTAGCCAAACCTTACTGATTGACTTTTGTGTTTGATATCTCAGAATAGTACAAGAGATACTGAGTCGACCCGAAGGTAGGTATGGACCCGGGCCGGGTCAGGCCCGGCGGGCCTATGAGTTTTAATGGGTAGACTCGGGACCGGCCCGGGTATCCACTGGGTCCGGTCCGGTTCTGGGCCGGGTTGAATGCATTTTTTTTTTGCTTTCCTAACTACCCCTGACCCCCCCCCCCCCTCCTCACCCTGCACCCCCCAAACCTCCCCCCCCCCCAACACCCAGCCCAATCCGGTGGAAACCCAAAAATAATGAAAAAACTAAAAAAAAGAATTGGGCCCAAACCGGGCCGGGTCCCCATTTGCCCTACCCGTGCCCGCCCCCCCGCTATCCCACCGGTTCGGGTCACCACCCGGTCCCGGACCGCCAGACCGGGCCGGTCCCGGGCCCGCATAGTAGCGGGCCGGTCCCGGGCCTGCATAGTAGCGGGCCGGGCCGGGTGGCCCGAACTGGGTCCACCACTACCCGAAGGAAAGTGACATACCACTTTCCTATTATTAATAAAGTACATAATAAATACTAAATGAGCTAAATAAATACAAAGCTCAATAACTAAATAAAATATACAAATACAAGGATAACTAATGCAATTAGACACAATAAAATAATTCTTAAAAGCAATTTTTAATTCTTATACGGAGCATATTAATTGTAGTTTTAAGATTGTGAGTGTAGGAAGGAAAATTTTTGTGGAATTGTGAGTGCGATGTGATCAAGTTTTTTAGTATGTCTGACAATGGTCTGATGTCTTCTGCCAAGAGCTTATAGAGCTATGCGTGGAGTATAAGCTCATTACGACGACTATACCACTCACTAGTACTTAGAAAATCTCAACAGGATGTTTACATATTTAATACCATAAAGTCATAAACTGCATGGAAAGTGATGACCTAACACAAACTTGAGCTCAATTCTGACATAAATGAAGGTACCAAATAGAGTAAATTATCCAAAAAAAACTGAACAAGTTAAATATAACCAAACACATCCTCTGTTTTTTTCTGAGATAACAATGTACAGTTAGCATGCGTCTAGGACTGCGTTTGAGCAAATTGGATAGTAGCAAGAGGGGAAGCACGGCGATAACTAAGCAAATCAATCAGCGCCTTATGTTGTCTATCCGCAATGCAGAAACTTGGGGCAACCATCATTGATTCAAGAACTGGGGAATGAGCTAGCAAGAACTTGATAAAAGCCATTTCATGCAACATGGCGAAAAAATCAGTCATCTTCACAAATTTTAGTTTTTTGAATTCGCAATTAGCTGGCAACCATTTCTCCCAAATTTGCAAATCCTCATAGTCAGTTGTTGTGTATGTGGAACCCTAATGAAGAGAAAACATAAATGAAAATCCTTTTTGAAAAGTGATAATCAATTTCTTTCAAATTTTCAATAACAAAAAAAGTTTCAATGTGATTTTAAATATATTGTTCACTTTCTGTATGAATATCTTTTTGAAAAGTGTTTTTTGACAAAAACATTCTTATTGATTTCTAAATGTATGAAAAGGTAGAAAAAACAGAAATGAGATGTATATGACATAGCAACCTAAAATTCTACTAAATTTTCATTTACTAGTTTGCAAAATGAATAATTATTTGTGAAGAATATGCATTTAAAGGAAGTGCCATAAAAAATAAATGTTTACCATAGCTTACCGATATATGAAGCTGCTCTAGATTAGGGGAGCCCGAAATAAGGCGAAGAACGACAAGTATCTCATCCAAATCTTCAAAACTAACTTGATGCAGTTCAATAACTTTGAGATGGTGGTGAACCATATGTTTGCTTTCTCTGTCATTCCCTATACTGAGATACTAAGAAAGGGAGGAGGGATAAGGACTAGATAAGATTAATAGGCAACCTACTCATACAAAAATATGGTATGAAAAGGAATGAAGAAAGCTATGTTAGCACGTCTAAGATGTTTATTCAACTTTTGATCTCTCGTATGTGGATATGTCAGATGCTGCCACATCACTAATTCACCTGGTCCTTTAGCTTGGCTAGTAATTCAACGACTTTTGGTCCTTTGACTTTTTAAGTTTTTTACCAAATCTAGTCCAACATACCCTTGTATAAAGGTCTAAATTTATTGAACTGTGTGATCTTTAGATATTTTTGGACTGAATTTGCTATATTTTTAAAACCCAAAGGACCAAAAGTGAAACTAACTCCCCGCCTATACTCATACAACATCCCACCTATACTCATAAATCATAATACCTATAAAATCCCATTTGGATTCCACAACTATTAGTGCAATCTATGGGTCATCCGGAAACAGTCTCTCTATACTTAAGTATAGAGAGACTCCGTACATCTGACCACCCTTACCCCACCGTAGGTGGGAGCCTTTGCGGCATTGGGATAATGATGATGATGAACTATTAGTGTAATCCCACTTGTGATCCCTGGTTTTCATT